CTGAAGAAAGGATCAAAGAGGTAAAGCTGTCAACTTATTTCACTCAATGTATCAACGACATGCAATGACAGCAATTTTAGTTACAGTTAGAGGAAGAATTTCCTCCCTCTGATGAAGGTTAGAGCATATGATGGAAGCAGAAAGAGATTGACATCCTGAAATCTCAACTCTTGCCAAACATGCCTGGTAAAGAGGAATGGGACATTGGACAGGTCCTCTGGGACTGTTACAGACTACATTCAACCAACAGCCGCAAATGGTAGGGGCCCTGACACTTAAAGGGCCAACAGTTGAAGAAGATTTTGCACACTCTAATCACAAATTAATACCAGTGACGATTCAAAAGTTTCTCCAACCAACAAAGTGGCATAGTGGGCAGTGAAGAAGGTTATCTAAGACTACAAAGAGATCGCGATCAATTGGGTCAATGGGATGAGGAGTGGCAGATGGACTTTAATTTGGATGAATATAAGGTGTTGCATTTTGGTAAAACAAGCAAGGACAGGATTTATACAATTAGTGGTAGGGCCCAAGGTAGTGTGGTAGAACAGAGAAACCTAGGGGTTCAGGTACATAAATGTGCATCACAGGCAGACAGGGTGGTTAGCAAGGCGTTTAGCACACTTGCCTTCATCACTTAGACCTTTGAGTGTAGGAATTGAGCCATCATGGTGGGGTTGGTGAGGCCTCTTCTGGAAGACTGTACTGTACTGATCACCTTACTATTGAAAGGATAATATTAAACTGGAGAGAGTTCAGAACAGATTTATCAGGATGTTTCTGGGAATGGAGGGTTTGAGATATAAAAATAGACTGGATAGGCTGGGGCCTTTTTCACTGGAGATTAGGAGGTTGAGGGCTGACTTTATTGAGGTTTATAAAATCATGAGGGGCATAGATATAGTGAATGACAAGGTCTTTTCCCTAGAGTGGTGAAGTTCAAAACTAGGAGCATATTTTTAAGGTGAGAGGGGAAAGATTTAAAAAGGTCATGAGGGGCAACTTTTTTGCACAGAGAGTGGTTAATATGCAGAAGGAACTGCCAGAGAAAGTGGTGGATGATGGTAAAGTTACAGCATTTAAAAAACATGTGGATAGGTTCATGAATAAGAAAGATTTGGAAGGATATGGGCCAAGTGCAGGCAATTGGGACTAATTTAGTTTGGGAACATGGGTGGCGTTGGCTAGTTGAACCGAAGGGTCTGTTTCCATGCCGTATGACTCTATGACTATGCCTGCAACATGCGAGAAGCCATGGATCTTTGAGTTAAAAAAGGATTTCCAGACCTAGAGGATAAGGTCTCAGGCCTTCAACACAAATTCCTAGACATTGAAGCTTCAAGAAGGGCAACGATGCCCCATCATTATTAATGGGAGCCAGCAATCTGCACAGCATCTTCAGAACAGTGCACAAGGAATGTTAACATGAACATCGAGCATTGCAACAAAAATATCAAACCTGGCAAATCAAGACACCGTTCAACAATTGAAAGCAGCCTGTTGCCTGGGGGGAGACAACAGCTGAGTGATATTATTGCTAGTCTACTAACCCAGAGACCCAGGGAACATCCAATAAAATTTCTTGAAGAGTCTAATGATGACCACGAATCCATTGTCGATTATCAGAAAAACCCATCTGGTTCACTAATGTCCTTTAGGGAAGGAAACTGCCATCCTTACCTGGTCTGGCCTACACGTGACTCCAGACCCACAGCAATGTGGTTGGCACTTAACTGCCCCCTTGTCAATTAGGGATGGGCAGTAAATGCTGGCCTGGCCAGTGACACCCTCATCCTGTGATATAATTTAAAAATACCTAAAACTCTAATTCCTTTATAAAAGCCAGCATAATCCTACAAGACCGTAGGGTTTTTCTCTCTCATTAGAGAAGACGACTGGTGATGGTTTAAACTGAGGGTCACTATGTCCCAGGTGAGGGGAGAGTTTGAGAAGGAGATCCCTCATGGTAACCTCAGTCAGGGTGCAAATTAAACCCACGCTGTTGGAATTAACTCAGCATTGCAAAGCAGCTATCCAGCCAACTAGGCTAACCAAACCCCTAATAAACCCCCCATTTACACACCCACACACACAGACAGATACAGACTGGTCTGGGGAAAAAACACATGGGTGTTATGGATGGAGGGAAAACTGGAAAAGCAGCTCGGTGGTTCCCGTTCACAGGGATTGTTGAGATGATCTTTATGATCCTTGTGTTGGCCAGGTGCTGTTTCTCAGTTGTCCTTCTCTGAAAGATTCCATTGGTTTTCAAGGAGCACAGAGAAGCTGTTTCACTTTCAAAATGTCTCTGACTTATTGATTAAAACTCACAGCTTACGGCTGAAGAAATGAAAAACTGCTTTTCTTACCTTTTCAACCCTGGACAGCATTTATTGCCTGTCCCTAGCTGCCCTTGAGAAGGTGGGGGTGAGCTGCCTTCTTGAATTACTGCAGCCCACTTGCTGTAGGTTGACCCATAACACCAATATCTTTTCTCTGCACATCTAATTATCATTTGATTGTATTCCTATTCTCCACTTCGGTGCATTTCCCTGACAACTTGTTCCAGTAATCAACTCCCTTTTGTTGAAAGACGGCATTTTGCAGTTTTATTTTCTCCTTTTACCATGTTCATCATCATAGAATCCCTACACTGTGGAGGCAGGTCATTTGGCCCATCATATCCACACCAACCCTCTGAAAAACAGCCCACCCAGACCCACCTACCCCTGTGTTTCCCATGGCTAACCCACCTAGCTTGCACATCCCTGGACACTATTTAGCATGGCCAATCCACCCTAGCCTGCACACCTTCGGACTGCGGGAGGAAACCAGAGCACTTGGAGGAAACCCACGCAGACACAGGGAGAATGTGCAAACTCCACACAGGCAGTCGCCTGAGGCTGGGATCACACCCGGGTCCCTGGCGCTGTGAGGCAGCAGTGCTAACCACTGTGCCACTGTGCCACCTTTTTGTTGCAGACTTGCCTGTCCTTGCATGTTTTTCCAACAGCCAGGCACTTCCCCTCAGAGATTCACAAAATGCAAGCCAGTGAAGAGATTGTACCTGGCTCAAAGGACGAACTGCCTTTCCCAATCCAATCCTTTCTGATTTCCTCAAACAGTTTGCAATTTAGTTTTATTTATATCCCTGTGTTAAAATAGGTCAGGTCAGGTTCTGGGTCTGTTGACTGTGTTGTGCTGTGTGATTCTCTGATTTATATGTTAATAACAAACAGCAGCTTGTCTATTGAAACCTGGGGACTGGATTCAGACAGCTTCATGCTCAGACTCATGCTTGAGGTTAAATGACTCATTGCTCACACACAACCTCCCCATTTACATTGGTTTATTTATGCTACGGTTACAATTCCACAAGTGTCAGCCCTCTGTGTGTTAGGACTAGAAAACAGATAAATATCGAGAATGCAAATATCAAGCTGTCTGTGTTGCCTCAGTCTGCAGAAACGTCCCACAGCAGCAGAGCATAGTCTGCCGTAAGTTAAGATAAAACATACAGAAACATGAAGAATTACAGAAAGCCTACAACACAGAAACAGGCCATTTGGCCCGTTGTGCTAATGTTTGTGTACAGAATCTGCCTGAGCTTCCTTTCACCATAATTAGCTCTTCAACACCATCTCGTGAATCCCTCTGACCCCACACTGTCCCATGGTCTTGCTGTTCCCAGCCACCCCCATTACCTTTCACGTCTGATTTAACCCTAAGTTTTCCTGTCAGTTCCAGGTTGTCTCCCTCCTTGCAAGTCTTGAATTCTCTTCTGGTATAGTACCTTGGTTCTCCATCTTTTAACAGACGAACCATCCTTCCTTCCTTTATGTTTGAACTTTTGTAGAGATGCCCTGATAACTTTCTGGTGTTGTGGCCATTCACACTTGGATTTCTGATTGGGATTTCTGTTTGGATCGGGATAGGCTGGATTTCTGGTCCATTTCTTCGCCTATTGGAATTAATAGCCACAGTGGCTCCTGGCATAGAATATGCCTGTCCACAGATTGATGGATGAGGGCAGTCAAACTGACTGAAATGTCGGTCAATAATTCCTGCGATAATTCAGATGCAAGCAATGTCCATTATCCCTGGAGATCAATATTTGGCAAAAACCATTTGGGACGAACTGAGACCTCAGTTTCAGCTGTGCAATCAATTCCTATTCCCAAACTACAAGTTCCCGCTGACTGTTCATTCCATAGAAACAAAAGGCAGGAGCATTTTCAAATAATTTGAGTCACAGGTGTGTTTTTTCACTGTTCACACCAAAGAGTTTTGCAGAGCAAATAAACTATTTTTAGAGTTTTTCTGCTCCATTGAGTTGTTTTGGCTCTTCTTGTGTGTTGCACAGTGTTGTAGTTTTCTCAACCAGGGTGAGATGATTTCTGGTGTTAATATATTAACTGGTTTTATTGAGGCATTTGTATTACTGCAGGAGTGGCAAGGCTTGGAAATAAATATGGACTGTTTGAGTTTCACTGAATCTAAAACTTTACACAGAGATTTGATATTAACATCACGAGGACAGGGTAGGCTGTAATACGGGTCGGCACCATTTGCCTGCAGCCAAGCTAGTCTTTAACTTGATTCGTGGCATCAAAAGGATTTATCCAGCCACAGACTATTTCCAATCATTTATCCTCTCTTACCTCACCCACAGACTGATGTGCTATAATTAAACAGAAGAACTTGTAATTTCTACAGCAAGAATGTTGCAAAGTGCATTCCAGTTGAAAAACTGGTCAGTAAACACAGTCACTGTTGTAATGTTGGAAGTGCAGCAGCTAATTTAGCTGCAAACAGAAATGTGATAATGGAACAAAAACAGAAGTTGCTGGAAAAGCTCAGCAGGTCTGGCAGCATCTGTGAAGGTAAAAATAGGGTTAACATTTTGGGTCTGGTGACCCTTCCTCAGAACTTGTGATAATGATGGGATAATGTGTTTCTAGTAAAGTTGTTTGTAACAATGGATGTATTCTTTGTTGCAGATGTTGGGAATGAAGGAGCAAGAGATTACAGAGAGGACACTGCAGTATTCCTGGAGCAGACAGCTTCCCATGAGGCTGGAGGTCACAGTTCAGCAGGAAGTGCTATAACATGTGAGTTCAATTAGTTGTTAAAGTGGGGAGTTTGCTGAATGTTCAAAACATGTCATAATTCTCATATTGCTGAGATAGAAAACAAAATCTTTGCTCTCTGATTTTCAGGAATATTTCGGTAGGGGGCATTGAAATGGCGACATGGTAGAGTCATGGTAATGTCACTAAATCAAGAATTGAGAAACTCAGGCTAATGCTCTGTGAGAGGGATTGAAATCTTACCATCACAGCTGGAGCAATCTAAATTCAAATAAATAATGAGCCTGGAGTTGAAGGTTAGCCTCTGCGATGGTGACCATGGAGTAAATCTTGTGTTTTCTTGGGTAAATGCAAGTTGAATTGAGTTTTCTGGAGGGTATTTTGAAATGCGGCCAAGCCTAGTTTACTTGCTGTATCTTATCAAATGTGACTCATTACCTACGTACCACACCTCTAGGGTGCTCGTCTTGTCTGACATCTTACCCATTCCACCATGTACTATACCCACAACAATTCGCCACTGCCAAAATATCCTGGAATGGACTGACAATCCTGGTGCTAATGGAGGGGGAGGGAGGTGATGGCCTAGTGGTATTATCGCTGGACTGTTAATCCAGAGATCCAGATAATGTTCTGGGGACCTGGGTTCAAATCCCACCAAGGCAGATGATGGGATTTGAATTCAATAAGTATCTGAAATTAAGAATCTAATGACGACTGTGAATCTATTGTCAATTGTTAGAAAAACCCACCTGGTTCACTAACACCCTTTAGGGAAGGAAACTGCCATCCTTACCTGGTCTGGCCTGCCAGTGACTCCAGACTGCCTCTGAGCAATTGGGATGGGCAAATAACTGCTGCTTAGCCAGCAATGCCCTCAGCCTGTGAATGAATAAAGAAAAGAAAAATCTTTAAAAGCCCATTAAGCCCCGTTGTGTGGACACAGAAGTAAAGGTCCTGCCTAATAGGGTGAGGCACAGTCCAGTTGTCCTGTTTCCCCCAGGACCAGTGGAGAAAGACTTAACTCCAGGCCATATTGGCCTGGTCGAAGCTGCCAACTGCATCAGTGTAGTATCAGCTGTCGGAGATCATCGTCACCCTGCCAGGATCAGTGCTACTAGTTTCTCTCCAATATCTCTCTCTCTCTGCTACTGCACTCACCTCCTCCTCCTAAGGCTCATGCTTGACCAGCCTCACGATTGCTTGCAACCTCTTCCCTCACCGCTCCAAACCCCCAACACCACTGACCCTGCACGCCCTCTGCTCACTCATGAAACCTCCCCACCTGCACCAATAGTAACACCCACTTTGATCTCCTGTAATACCACCTCTCTCATTGCAGGAGGAGAGCAGCCCCCAGTGGGAGCAGAAAGAATCAGGATGCGTGGTGGGCTGCACGCCATTCTGACTCTGACCGTCCCAAATGGCTGACTGTGCCCAAGCTCCTGCACTTGTATCAGAGGCTGCCTTTGACTGACTGTGCTGGGACTCCTTAGGTGAAGGCCATTCGCCTTAACCTGCTGACATCAGGACAAGTTTCCTGCCTTTGTACCTCTGCTAAATAGCATGACAATACAGCAGCACTGTGATAATAAAATAAAACAACAAGCTGCAGACGCTGGAGATCTGAAACAAAAATAAATAGTTGGAGAAACTCAGCAGGTCTGGCAGCATCTGTGGAGAGACAATCAGAGTTAATGTTTCTGGTCTAGTGACTCTTCTTCAGAAGCTGCCAGACCTGCTGATGTTCTCCAGCAGTTTCTGTTTTGTTGCAGCAGCTCAGTGAGCTGTCCCTGACTGAGGAGACAATGTGCAGGCAGGGAATGCAGGGATGGAGTGAGCATCAGATTGGTTCAGAGAGAGTAAGTGCTCTGACAGTGATTGAGGATCCCGGAGATACAGCCTGGTGCAGTCCCTGAGCTGGGGGATGGTGTCCCTGAGCACACAGTGTCCTTGCTGCAGAGTTACAATCAGAGTCACCAGGGCAACCTAAGGGGCAGCATTGAAGGGCAGAGTGTCCTGTAAATGGATTGGAGATGGGCCAGGAGGGTTCTTAGAGGCTGGCACATGTCATAGAATCATAGAATTCCTACAGTGTGGAAGCAGGCCATTCAGCCCATCGAGTCCACACCTATCCTCTGAAGAGCACCCACCCAGATCAAAATCCCTACTATATCCCTGTGACCTTGCATTTCCCATGGCTAACCCACCTAGCCTGCACATCCCTGGACAGTATATGCAATTTCCCATGGTCAATCCACCTTACGTACACATCTTCGAACTGTGGAAGGAAACCGGAGCACCCGGAGGTAACCCATGCAGGCTCCACACAAACTGTTGCCTGAGGGTGGAATCAAACCCGGGTACCTGGCACTGTGAGGCAGCAGTGCTAACCACTGAGCCACCATGCCACCCATGTCAGATGCCAGTCTTCATGGATGTGGAGCATGTGTGGCCTGTACCCATGGAGATGTTGGTGCCTGGTTTCCAGCAGCGAGGGTCACCAGGTACTCACTCTGGTTTCCACGTCGAGAAATGTCGCCGTCAAGTTTGATTGCGCACGTTTGGTAAGATGGGAAGCTGAGTATTCATAAGATGAGCTGTGGTGTTAATAAGGTGTTCAGTGAGTGCTAATCCCCCTAAACTGGCAGCTTGCCTCTGCCTAGCGAGATAGTCACCTCACCATTTGTGAAAACCAGAAAGGACGCGGTGAGCTGATTCCGGATATCTCACTAATTCTGCAATATTTCTTGCCATTGTCCATTCAGGCCCCTACAAGATTCCACTAATATGGAACTATCATCGATTGTTGTAGAAACCCATCAGGTTTACTCAGTTCTTTTGATGGAGGAAATCTGCCATCCTTACCTGCTCTGGCTTATGGAAACCTCCAGACCCAGATTCTTAGCTGCCTCTGAAGTGGTCGAGCAAGCCATTCATTTTAATGGCAATTTGCTCACCATGCTTGTGGCGCCCATATCCCATGAAAGATTAAAACAAAGGATATCTAGACCGACATTCCATATTCCTTCCCCAGAATGCCATGTAATTTTACGCTGTCCTATACTGAGAGCTGACTGCTGCTGAGATAGTTTCATAACCTATCTGGTACTTTCTCCAAGCGGTTACCCTTCATCAGTGCCCATTGGCAGGATATTGATCATGGGTTGGGAACCAAAGTGAAATTGAGTTATAAGATGGTGGAACAGAAATAGGCCATTCAGCCCATCAAGTCCGCTTTGCCATCCAATGAGATGCTGGCCGATCTGATTACCTTCAACTCCACTTTCCTGCCTTTTCTCCATAACCCTCGATTTCCTTCCTAATTAAAAATCTGTCTATCTCAGCCTTAAATATACTTGATGCTTTAAAAAGAATTCCACAGATTCACTACCATTTGAGAAGAGAAATTTCCCTTTATTTCTTAAATGGGCTAACCTCGTCCCTTACACTGAGATTATTCCCTCTGGTCCTAGACTCTTCCACAAAGGGAAACAGCCTGCTGGCATCTACTCTGGCAAGCCACCAAGGAGTCTTATGTGTTTCCAAGGAGTACAGGTCCAACCTACTCAACATTTCGTCATACAACAATCCCCCATACCTGGTAAAAACCGAAAGAACTGCAGATGGTGTAAATCAGAAACAAAAACAGAAGTTCCTGGAAAAGCCCAGCAGGTCTGGCAGCAACTGTGAAGAGAAATCAGAGCTAACGTTTTGGGTCTAGTGACCCTTCCTCACAACTGATGGTGGCTAGGAAAATGTTGGTTTATTTGCAGAACATAGGGTCGGGGGAGGGGGTAAACTGTAAATGATAGGTGGGGATAGAGCCCAAAGGGAGAGAAGAACTGTTGGACAGATAGAGGTATGGATAATGATGTGCCTAGGAGGGTGAATAGCTATCGGTGGGGACTTTCATACCTGGTATCAGCCAAGTGAATCTTCTCTGGGCTGCCTCTAGTGCCAATATATCTCCTCCTATTCACAGTATTCTAGCTGTGGTCGAACAGATGCTTAGCTTAGTTTTGGCAAAACTTCCCTACTTTTCTACTTTATTCTCTATGAAGTAAAGGCAATATTCCATTTGCCTTCCACATTACCCTCTGAAACTGGATGCTAGCTTCTCGTGACTCATGCTCAAGGACTCCTGAAATCCTTCGGTGTTGGGGCTTTCTGCAGTCTTTCCCCATTTAAATAATAACCAGCTGCTCGATTCTCCCTGTCAAATTGCATAACCTCACATTTCCCTACATTATATTTCATCTGCCAAGTTTTTGCCCATTCACTTAACCCTATCTATATCCCTATGGCATCTCTTTGTGTCATCCTCACCACTTGCCTTCCCACCTCTTTTTGTGTCATCCACAAATTGGGCTGCAGTACGTTAACTTGCCTCATTATAATCATTAATATGTATTGTATATAATTGTGGCTCCTGCACTGATCCCTGTGACACTCCGCTAGTTACAGGTTGCCAGATTGAAATTGCCTCCTTTGTCCCAACTCTCTATCTTCAGTCAGTCAGTTAGTCCTGGTGATACCTTGGCAGTGAAAGAATGTTCTGTGAGAAAACTGGGCAAAACAATTCAGAGCAGCTTAATGAAGCTGTTTTACTCTAAAATATTCTTTAGCATTCAGTATCTTTGGCTGCCAACATCTGGCTTCTGTTGCTAAATAGAAATATTACAAGTTCCACAATGGTTTCAACTGAAAGCGGCAGAAACAGAGTGAGTTTTCCTCATTCCAAAATCATTACAGCCATCAGGACAGATGGACATGTATCTATCACGAATGTTGGTGGAAATTTCAAAGCTCAACCTTCACATGAACAAAGAGAATCCTTGATCTGACTTGGAATTAAGCCTCATTGTATATTAAAGAGGCACCAGAAGTTTAATGCTGACAGGGAAAGCAGTGGAACTCTTGATGATGGCCGTGAAAGAAATGCAGCAAGCATTCACAGCAGGAAAGGTTCTTGGACCCAACATATCTTCTCAGTTTAATGGATCAGTTCACCCTATCCC